CCCCTGTCGTCTCTCTCTCTCTCGCCACGTCACCTCTCTCTCTCTCTCTCTCTCTCTCTCTCTCTCGCCAGTCACCAGTCTTCAGCTTAGACCTGATATCTCCAATTCATTCTCTATCCAATAACAATCAGAGGATCGACAAAGCATCCTATGAAAAATATGAAAGAAGAAGATAGAGAGATGAAAAGTGTGAACCTCTATCAAAGCCTGTTTGCACTAGTAATGGAAATAGTGCCATTGTCGCTCATAACGCAGCTGAGTTTCTCTCTAGAGCTGTATGGACATGGATGAATGCTTTGTTAAGAAAGGACTACAAATCCACATTGCATCTCAAAGATGTTCCTTCACTTGCACTAGCTGAATGTGTTATTTTTGCACCTGTTGTCCAGGCACTTCAAATCAGCACTTTGTGCACCTTTTTGCACAGAATTTCTACCATCCCATACTTTTCTAGCACTTAACTGTGCTAGGTGCCCAACATGCTGATTTGAAGCGCTTGTGCCACAGGTTCTTCTGCTCTTGGTTGCTTATGGTATCAAGGAATTAATATGTGTGCTGTGTACACTTCACGTATAACTTATATCGCACAACTTTGCGTGCCTTTCCTCAGATTGATGACCTCTTGCTCTTAGTACACTCAGGATACAGTTGTTTAGATCGACTACTTTGATTCTATCTTCCCAATGTGAGTTATTACCTTTTTCCACATTACTCATCTCAACATCTGAAAGTCTTGGGGAAAATGCCTTGTTCATCCTCAATTAGATGATCCCGGGCTCCTTACGGTCTTGTTTGACAGTTTTTAAGATTATTTGAAGGCTCTTTTACTGCTCTTTCATATAGTGTCGAGATCATTACAATACTGATATTCTTTTTATCGCATTCTTACAAAGAAATTCCGTGATTTGTAAATTAGTCATGTTACGGTATGTGTATTATGCATCTTAATGTTTGTTGTTCCCATGTCTGTTTTTGTGTTATTATTGATTGTGATTGTATCTTGACTGTCTTAAATTGATTCTTCTTGGTGTTTATTATCTCTGAATTCCATCATGGACGTCTTGTTTGGGTACTGTTTTAGGTGGTATCCATTCTATTCTTTTTAAATCAATTTTGATCGGTAAGTTAATGTTACTACGTCGGTTGATCTTGATCATCTCTTGAGTATCATAGGAATCATGAGTTGTATGTCCTTGGATGAATGCCTTTTTTCATTTTTCATTTCAGATCGATAGGTCTATTTCATTAAGTGTAAATGTATGCTCTAAAGAGTTTCATTTTCGCGAATAAGTCATCACAAGAGGGACACTTTTTAATGTAGTAGCTCAAATATTGCTAAATAAAGTAAGACTTAAGATCCAATGGTCTAGTTAGGAATCAGAATATTCAGAAATTAGGAATCAGAATATTCAGAAATTATGTGCAGATAACATGAAAAAAGAAGAAGAGGGATAGTTGATTATAACATTGTTTACAGTGTACACCACATGCACTATATACATTATCAACAATATGCATATCCGCTTTTGTTGACGTGCTATCGCAAAATATATTTTAAATGTATATTCGGGAAATGCTTCAGTCAGGAGTTCAACGGCGTCGCATAGATGATAGATCAGAATTTTATTGAATAACTCGTAAGGAGCGTTTTGTCTCAACTTTTTGTTCTAAATCTTTACTGTTAGACTGTCATTCATGGTCAGTTTTGTGTCCCATAAATGCTCTACTCAGAAATTATGTACCTGGATTTCCCATGTACACTTCCACATTCTTTCTCTGATTGGAGTTGCATGTTGCTCAATTTAGGTGTTACAACACAATGCAATTATTAAGGAAGGCAAACATGTAAATATGTTCTTATATTATCGTTAATATTTTAATCG